ATTTCCATAACTTATGTGTTTAAAGTAGTTTTAATCCAAAAACTCTTCAAGTTCCATAACTTGAGGACAAGTTATGGAAGACTTTAAACTATTAAAAGAATGTGACTCTTCCTTATTCATAACTTATGGAAATCTTTATGAGTTTTATGGATCTTAAATGTGACTTTTCATATAACTTGAGGACAAGTTACAAAAACACATTTTAGAACCAACTCTTAGATTAATTTGGATTGAAAACAACAATTTCATATAACTTTCCTATTAATCTAAGCAACTCATAAGAACAAGATAATTCAAATCAAACTTTTTCATGTAATTAGTCTAATCCTTAAACTAATACAAAACATGAATCTATTGACAATTATCCTTGAAATTGGATTAGCATGAACATTACCACATCAAAAACAAGTTTATAAGTCCAAAAACATCTTAGGGTAATGTTCCTAGTCCAATTCCAGCCAAAACAGTCGAATATATGCTGTCTGGGGGTCCAACTCGTCGAGTGCATGAACCAACTCGGCGAGTTGGATCGTTTTGAACACTTTTAAGGCATGGACTCGTCGAGTCACCTGATGGACTCGCCGAGTCCGTTGTCCAGACAGCAACAAAATTCGATTTTTTCAGCTAAATTTGCAAGTATAACAAGAAAACAAGCCTAGGCTCTGATACCACTGTTGGGTTTTGAGCATTCTAACACTCCTAAGTGTACATGCAACCCTAAATACCTTGGATCTATGTTTTCTCTATTATACATGCAAATATGAACTTTCCAAGGTATTCATCCTAACTAGCAAAATAACATTGAATCATATGGATATCTCAAGTTAGAATTACATACCTCTTTGATGTAGAATTTCTTCATGAAGCTTGAGTGCCTAGTGCCCCATGTGTGACATCTCAAATGGTTCACACAACACCAAATGCACATGGAATGACTTGAGAGAAATGGAACACTCCTTGAAATCGTCTAGCCCTCATATTCACACACTAGTGCACAATTTCTTGAGCCATGGGATTCTTTTATATGGTGGCTATTAGGGTTACACCATGTAACTCATAACTTTACCCATTCCTTATGCTCCATGGATTTTAACGTCCATGGAGTATCCATGGGTCACCCTATGGACTTAGTCCAACATAAGGAATCTTGGATCACAAGCCCACATATATAAGAATGAATGATTTACACAATCAACCCATATATTTAATTAGTCTCCTTTTGATCACTTAATTAATTCCAAATTAATTCTTGATCAATACTAATTAAATAACCTTATTAATATATTAGAACTTATAATATATTAACCAACCTTAAGTGTTATTTCTCTCATTATAGTCTACCCAAATGCATGATGCCATGCAACCCAAATGGACCATGCCGGGTCGGGTCAAGTCTTACCAATTATAGTTATGGACTTAGACATTAATCCAACACAACATAAAGCCCCTTCATAGATTTGATAAAAAGAAAATGAGATAATGGATCCCTATCTCAACTGCTCTCCAACTAAAACTATGAATTAGGACTCCCATTAACCAAAACAAAAGTAGTAGCCGAGGGTAAGCAAGCATGGATCCAACACATTAATCACCAAATCCCATAAACTCCATGATCTTTAGTATATAATCCCATCCAATAGAATCATATGTATTCTCAAAGTTAATCTTTAAGATGACCATCATTCTCTTTCTTTTCTTGAACCACTCCGCTACTCTATTCACAATTATAGGCCCATCAAGAATTTGTCAACCATCCCAAGAATTTTATATTGAGCACTAATAAGACTAGTTGGTCAGTATATATTAAGAAGCACGAGATTGTATATCTTCGTGATAATGGTAAAAACAAGACATTACAATCACCAGGTAAAACTGAGGAAACACAAAAATCAGCCACAGAGTCCTTAACATTCTTTTTTAGCACACCCCCATTAATTTATCAGAGGATATTTATGATTACAATGGACCAGACTGTTTTTTAACCTCATCTTTTATGGACTTAATGTCTAAATACGAAATTGGGTTGGCAATAAAGTTTTTAATCTCGAGCTTCTATGAAACAATAGAACTACCTCCACTCTTTAGTATTTTTCTTGCAATAAGTCAAAGAATGCTTTCTTGACCCTACTAGGTGTGATCACCTAATCCCTATCTATGTTCACACCTTGATCGAGATCTGAATATACCTTTTAGGATTCCTTGATAATACTTTATGTTTTCATCTCCTTTAATACTCCATTTAATCTTTACTTTTTGGGCCATATCATTATTTTCCATCTTATTAATTTTGTGCAATTATTTGAGAATACATTTACCATCTAACATATTTTGATGGGAGTTAGAACCCAAAACATTTAACTTCTCCACGCCTACCAATTTCTTTTTAAATTTCTACTTCTTCCTATAATTTTCCTGGTCTTTACGTTTTTGCCACTAGTTCAACACCGCCTTCAACATTTTAAACATATTTTAAGGGCCTTTGTTTTGTTTTACACCATAAATATGGTTATGAAGCCCACCCCTACTCACAGTTTTGTCAAACTCATCACACAATCCATCCATGAGTTGAACAATTTAAATGAATTTGTTTTAAACTACAACCACACTAACACTATTACTTCATATTTAAAAGGAAGCTAGCTCAATAAGTTGGATTTCCAAATCAAGTTTGGAAGTCTGGGTGAATGTAATATGTATAAAAAGCATATTCTCTGTTGAGTCCTATTAAGCTAAGTTAAGGCTTTAAAGTAAGTACTCGTGTGGGATAAGCATGATAGAAAGAGTATTCTCACTCTAAATAAGGAATCACCTTGATTAGTTAAGTATATCCACTTATGATTTCCCAGCTAGTTTGAAGTTAAACTTTTTGAATCGAAACAAACACATATCACAACATTGCCAACCACGTCATGAGAAAGAGTTCTTCTACGTTAGGGTTTCCATTTTGCACTATGGACATTCTTATTTGAAGTGCACGCCTCGTTTTCTACATTGATAAAGTTTAACCATTATACAAGCTCTAAACATGTAACATACTTTTCCATACTTCCTCCCTCTCTATCATGTAGTTTATCCCTGCCTACAAACACACTTAAACTAGAACCCTCTTCGATACTAAAAACCTTATGTTTTAGTTCATTGGACAATAAGGCATCTTTCATGTCATCAATAGTAATCATTGTTCTACTATCCAGCATGTTATTAACGAAATCCACATATAAATTCTCCATAGACAAAATAATATAAGAGCTTAATATTCATCTTTAATTTTAACCATAACATATGGTTAATCTAGAACAATATGTTCATATGATCTTTTATGCGAGTACTTTCTAACAACTATATGGTATGTAAACCTTTCTTTTGATACAATCAATTCGTGGCAGTGTTCTTCTGATATTTGTCGCAAAGGTTCTCCCATAACCGAACAACAACGGTTTTGATACACAACCTCATGTAACACTTTATTAGTGATACATAACATAATAAAGCTATGCAACTTTTCCAAAATATCCCTCTTTGTATCTGCCGTCATATCCTTTATTAATTTAGCCTCTACTTCTAGCGATGCCACACAACCTTATTAAACCAGTAGAACCTTCATCTTCATGTTGCATAACTTGAAGTCATTCGATGTATTGAACTTCTCATGATCAAACTTATAAGAAAGACATCCTTTCAACCAACAGATCGAACCACTCGAATAACTGTGACTATGATATCACTCATTATGTAGGGAAGCAAAGAAAAGAAAGAACAAACTTAAATAATCTCTAATATTTTTCTGTGTTTCAAAGTGTTTTATATTTATTTTCGTTGTCTCGAAGTGTTTTATATTTTATTTTCATGAACAATGGTTGAAGTGGAATTCTTTTAGTTGAATGTCCATATAAGCATTTAAAAGTTGAAGAAATAAAATGTTAACCGACTAAAAAGTGGCTACTGGTTGCATGTATTAGTTTTAATTTGGAACAATGTTGCGTATTTTGTTATAAATATATACTAGTTATGAAACTCATGTATTACATGGGTTAATTTAAAGAAAAAACAAGAGTTAAATATAAAGTCAAAATATTTGAGAATGTTGAATTTATAAGAAAATAAGAAAAATAATGATTTATTATAATAATAAAAATTTATCTTTTAAATTTAAACAAATAATTTAAATAAAAAAAATTAATGAGCTACAAATTTTAAGAATTTTGAAATTAAAAGATAAGTTTATTAGTGAAATTAATATTCATTTATTACTACATTTATTGTAATTATTACATTAAAATATTATATGAAGTTTAATAAAATAGAAAAAACTTATAAAATAACATGTGAAAAAAAAATAATTCAAAATAACCATAAAATAATATTTGACAAATTGAATAAGAGTGTGACAAATGACAAAAAAAAAAACCCTTCACTTATTAGGGAAGATTGTTGGATTAATTGAAAACTGAAAAAAAGAAGATGTTAATAAATATATTAAATAAGTAATAAATCGTTTCAAAATAAACCATTTTAACTAACATCTATCCGGATACTACTTACTAGGGTCCCATAAAACATATGATTATACCCAATTTTCCTTTTGTTTAAACAAATATGCGATTTGCCATTTTTAAAACTAATGGTATAACTTTTCAAATGCCTTTACATTTTTATTATATTTTAACATCTTTTTTCACTTTTTCTATATTCAAATATGAACATGTTTGTTACATTTCCCAACACTAAATCCTGATTTGATGGCAAGAAGATGTAGTCTTCATCAAACTTTTGTATTTTAAATCAAGAATTTTTTGGTATTCAAAACTAGTATGGACTCGGAAAAAAAATGTTAAACATTTTCATCTCAGTCAATCCGTCGTAAAGCCCACACGGAAGGTCAATCAGGGACTAAAATTGCAAAAGGTTAGAGAATAGGTACCCAAGTGTCAAATACCATATCACCTCTTTGTAATTGTGAGTATTTAAAGGGTCCTTAGTAGACACCAAAGTTTCATATTGTGGAGTAACAAGCCAACTTTACAAGCTCAATAAGCTTCAATGGGGTGGATAGAGTATTACAAGCCAGTGACAGTTATGTTGGTGTTGCAGTTTACATATGCAACATTGTCAGTATCTGCGAGAGCTTCTCTCTTGCAAGGATTGAGCCCAAGAGTTTTTGTTTTCTATAGACAAGCTTTCGGAACTTTGTTCATCACTCCTATTGCTTACTTTTTTAGGTAGTTTCTAACATAATCTTAATTGCTCCATCATTTATAAACTTCTTCTCAAAATATAATTTTCTTTTTTGTTAGTTTTATGAAATATATGTAAACCCCACCTATATATCTAAACCATCTCATAGTTTATCATATAGCAAGATTTCAAATTTTGATACTTGTTCATGTATCGTAGGACCAAAACAAAGAATAGTTCTATGGGATGGAAGAGTTTCTCCTTGATCTTCATTGCAGCCTTAATCGGGTAAATTATTCTTTTGTTAGACGTTTTTTTAATATAAAAGGAGCCAAACCCATAAGTTGCTACAAATTATTTTAACCATATAATAATTAATTATGTATTATTTTTGTTCAAAAATACTTGTATTCTTTGTTGCAGAGTAACAGGCAACCAAATGATTCAATATGAAGGCATGTACTTGGCTTCATCATCAGCAGCAAGTGCTTTGGCTAATATTATTCCAGCCATCACCTTTGTTGCAGCATCCATTGTTGGGTATATAACTAAATTAATATACAAATTAAGTCACACATTAAGTTATTTTATTTTCATTTTAGATTTGAGCCAATCGATATTAGAAGCTTCAGAACCATTGCCAAAATATTAGGGACAGTTGTGTGTGTCACTGGTGCAATTACAATGTCACTCATCAAAGGCCCCAAGCTTCTAAATGAACAGTTGCCTCCATCAAATTCACTTTTGGTAAATCCAATTGGAAGAGATAATCTTTGGCTTGTGGGTTGTTTATGTCTCTTTGTTGGCTGTTGTTGCTGGTCATTTTGGTTGATAATTCAGGTTGGTATATATATCTAACATATATAATGAAATAAATGTCATGCCAAAAAAAAAATTAAAAATTAAAAATTATACATTGATTTGAAATTTGTAAAAGGTTATTACTGATTTTATGAAACAAACTATTTAAATTGCCTTCAAGTTGCCAACAAACCAAATTTATTTTGTAAAAATATAACAAACTTAAGATTTATGTGATTTTACATGCTATTACTTACCATATCATTTATATATACATTTACATATAAATAGGTACCGGTCACTAGAAACTACCCTGACCACTTATCTTTATCAGCTTGGATGTGTTTTATTGGAACGATGCAATGTGGAATTGTTACATTGTTTACAGATCCATGCTTGGAGGCTTGGAAAATCAAATCGTATTTTCAACTTGGAACTTGTTTATATGCGGTAATTATTAATATAAGAGGAATTAAATATCCTTCTACTTCTTTTTTCCTACCATCTTCCTACATGCTTATGATTGTGACGCTTATCATATTTAATAAAATTAATAGTTTTTTTTACACTTGTCATCATCTAAAAGTGGTATAAGTATGGATAGAAAGATTAAGTAGAAGGATATTTTAATATAAATTAAAATAACTTGTTTCTTTTTTTGTGTGTGAATTGTTAAGATTAAACTATATTTGTAACGGTTATAAATGATAATTAGGGTATTGTTGGTTCCGGGATTTCCATATTTGCACAAGCATGGGTTATCGAAAGGAGGGGTCCAGTATTTTCAGCAATGTTCAATCCTTTAAACACAATCATTGTCACTGTTTTCGCTTCTATATTTTTACAAGAACAGATATACGTTGGAAGGCAAGTTGAATGAGATTTTTTTTAAATTATTGCTACATTATTTTTCTTCAGGAAAAAAAACATGCTTTTGTGACACGTTAATTAATATTATCAACGTCTCTTTAGAAAAAAAATATACCAATTTTAATTTAGTTATGATTATATATAGCAACATAAACACATTGCTAAATGCTAACTTATTTGATGCTACATTTGACACATATATTGTTTTTACATTTGTTAAAGTTTTTTTTTAATTACCTTTTTACAAATTCTCTTACCTCTTTTTTACAACTTTTTTATATTGTTTTTACAATTTTGTTTCTTGCAAAATCGTTTTTCTACTTTTTTTTAGTTACATCTACTGGCGGATCCTCATGGGGCTAGGCGGATCACTATTATCTATATTTAAACATGATCCTACTGTAAATTATATCATATCTAACAAGTTTTGATTATTTTTTTTTTCTACCAACTAAACTTGCATTTTCGCACTTTAGTGTGATAGGTGCATTTGGAATCATAATTGGTTTGTATGTCGTACTCTGGGGAAAAGCAAAAGATGTAGAAATGTTGAAAGAAGCAGGAGAGAAGAAGATATTAGAAAACGATCAAATCAAGATTGTTCAAGTTTTGGTTGATGGATCCAACTTAGCTGAGCCCTTTTTGACCAAATAAAAAACAAAGTGTAAACGGATCATGTACCACCTACTAAAAGCATTATTAACACATATATATACGTACAACAAAAACATGTTAAAATTAAAGAACTTATGCCTCAGATTTTCATTTTTCTCATCCCCCTTTTCTTTTTATTTTTATTTATTTATTTATTTATTTATTTTTGTGAGAATAGTAATTTATTCGCTATATTAATTAAACGTTTATAGAATTGAGGACAACGCCACTAAGTAAATAGTAATTAAGTTCAAAAGTTCACATGTAAGTAATTCAAACCGTTTTGGGTTAACTACTCATGTATGTAACAATATGCAATTCATTACTTTTATATATATATATATATATATATATATATATATATATATATATATATATATATATATATATATATATATATATCATTTTCCTTGCACCATATTCATTTTAAACTTCCAATAAAACTCAAATGTCTTTTTAACTATAAACTAATTAATAACTACAATTCAAGAGTTTTCGAATTTATATATATTTATGATTTCAACATGAAATTAATTAAACACTACAACTCAAAAAAAAAGTATATATATATATATATATATATATATATATATATATATATATAGATATATATATATATATCTATATATATATATATGACAAACTTTTTTAATAATTAAAATTTTTTTTATATACATTTTAATAGAAATCTATGATTCTAATTATAAAATAGACAATTTTTTACTAATAATGATTAATTGATTTATTAAAATATGATAATTATAAGGATTACATGGATTTATCTTTAAACATATAAAGCTTAAATTAAAAAGATAAATAAAAAAACTGTCATAGATTAATGTAATTTTTCAAAAGAGGTTGGTTACCAATATTTAAAATAGAAACATTTTAAATATAAAATCTAAATGTGAATTACATCTATTATAAAAAGAGACATTTTTTTCTTAAAGTCATATATGATATATGTATTTGAAATTTACATGACTTTTTAATGTTACTGTTAAAATTCAATTTTTTTTTTTTATAATTAGCTGATTTATTAAAAGTTAATATTAACTATAATGATTATATTAGTTCATCTTTAAATAGACAAAACTACATAAATGGTCCTTATAGTTAGCTCAAAATTGTCACTTGGTCCAAAAATGTTTGGACTAGCCTCAGAAGTAAGGTTGGTAATGGAGCGGGTTTTGACCCTGATCCGATCCAAACCCTTAAAAATTATATGGGTTTGGAACACAGTTTTTGATTCGTTTACCCGTTAACGACCCGTACCCGCTAACCATTTTATTAAAAGGGTCGGATATGGATCATCACCGATCCGATCTATTTATAACCCGTCCCGTATAAATTTTAGAATTATACGTTTATATTTTATCATGTCTAAAGTTTATTTTTAATTTTAATCGAAAGTCCAAAGGGAAAAAGCCAAAGACCAAAATATTTTTACATAGGACTCGAAGGGTCAACTTCTAGATGGTTTATTAACAAAAATCATGGTATAATTTCATTAATATTTCATCAAGCAATCACTAATTTCATTTATAAATCTATAAAGTCATTATCAACCGGAAAAAAGTTTGCAATTGTTATTCTCTATCACCGTATTCGACTTTCAAAAATCAATCAGAAGTTACAACAATAGTGAATTTAATTCCAATTGAAAATCCTCGAGTATGTAATGCATTTTATAAATAAGCATTTTTGTTTGATTACTCAAAAAACCAATGGGTTATTGGGCGGGTTTGGATATCTATTGATTTGGTGGATAAGGGTATGGTTTTTGTAACAACCCAATTTTCAAATAAAAATTTTTCATTTTAATAATAAAATCCATGTCCCTTAATTGTAAATTCCAATATAAAGTGTATCTCAAAAATCCATTACATCAAACAATTATTCAAAAGATCAGAGTGTCCATATCAAAATGCTGGAGAGTGCGTGCCGCGCCATCATGTCGGACCCTTGCCCTTAGATCCCGAAGTAGCTGAAATAACCAACAAACTGTAAGTTAATGCTTAGTGAGTTCCCCATAACATACACACATACAATCATATAAATCCACATACGTCATGCATACAAACAAACATGTAAGGATGCTACGGAAACTCTCCATGGTTTTAATTCGGGTGCCATGGGAACCCCCACATGGTCATATCCAACTACTATGGGAACCCCTACATGGTCTTAACCAACTACCATAGGAACCCCCACATGGTCTTCACATGAGTACATAATATATTGATAGCATATCCACAAATAATCATTACAGCTAAATAACATTGGCCGACATTGATGCCTACCTATTGGTATGGTGAGGAAACTCACGTCAAATACTGAACAATAGCTGATTAGGTCTCAGCTCCGAATGTCAGCTCTACTCAACTCCTAAACAGAAACAATTCCTTAGATTCAACTCAATATACCCCAAAACTTCTTATAAGTCAGACTTGATCAAAGACTAAAGTCAAAGTCAAAGTCAACAGTCTGAGTTGACCAAACTAGCCGAGTTGGTCCTTTAACTCGTCGAGTTTCCTCTACTGTCCGCTCGGATCGCGAAAACTCATATCAACTCGTTGAGTTCACTAATAAACTCGTCGAGTTGGCCAGAAATCCAACCTCTTAGTGTATTAAGATGATTCCATTGAATCCAGGGACTCCAAAACTCAGATCTCTTCCAAAATGATGTCTAGAAGGGTAAAGTTTCCAACTTTGCCCTTAAGGACCATCCATAATGAGTCAAACCCAAACCCTAGGTTCATTAGAGTAAGTCTTAATACATTAAGCCCTTAAACTCTCACGACATAGCCCCAAAACACAGATCTGGTGTCCAAGGGTTGGAAAATCACATAAAGTTCCCAACTTTATGTCCATGCAAGCTAAAATACACTTTAAGGCTTAATAAAGACTTATTGCATGAATGGGACATAGAGACTAATAAAGTTTGCAACTTTAGGCCAAAAGAGACCATGAAGGGGTTACATCTAACTTGTTAACCCCTGGAAACCCTAACATCTTGGACAAGCCAACCATAAACCCAAAATCATGCTAAAACTTCAAACAACGAGATCTAGAAGAACACAAGGCAAGATGTCGACTTTATACCTCAAGAAGACAGCTATTCCTGAAGAGTTTCTGGATCTATACTCCTTCTTCTAAGCTAGATGCTTCCAACTTCCAAGCTCCTTCCAAAGAACCACCAAAATCAATTCTCAAAGCTCACACACTCAATCTTGGAAGGAGATACACGAATCTAGGGTTTCTGGACAAGGGTGGTGTGACATCCCCCATTTTCACGGCCAGAAAAGACCGATTTTGTTTATGCTTTATAAAAATCAGAGTATCTCTTTTAATAAAAATGTTGCGGAATTTGTTCCCAGAAAAACATGATAATTTCATTATCAAAGCATTTCCGAAGAAATGTATTTTTATTCATTTTAAAACATTTGGGATGTCATCGTCAATATAGAAACATAAGCATAAACGAAACTTACATTCATTTACACTAGTGATCTATATCTTCTTAATCTCTCAGTGTAATGTAACTTCACCTCGTCACCTATGATACAACTAAACTGAGTGGGTCAGGTTGGGAAACCTGGTGAGCACATAGGGTTTTCAACCCACAATAATATAATTATTATGTTTAATCATCAAACAATTAACCCAATTACCCATCCCCATTATCTTCTTTATTCCTAAGTACCTTCCCTAAGGATTTATCCTAAGGATCGTCTCCTACATCATATTTACCTTTCATCTCCTTACATCGCATTTCCTTATATGTTTGTTCCTAAGGACTCTCCCTAATGATCATCGCCTACATCGCGTAGACAATATTGATTAAGGGGTTACTCCCTCAATAAGTGCCCAACAAGGGTTAGGGCATCATCGCATGAATACGTAGTTACAACATCGCCTGAACTCGTAATTCATAGTAAGGGTTAGAGTATCATCACATGAATATAGAGTCACAACATCACCTGGACTCATAATTCATCACCTACATGTTATAAGTTTGCTGGTGTTTCCACGGGTTGTCTAGAATAGTCTGTGGTCGCCATCTATACTCTAGTAGATGACTACATCTCCAAATTGTCGGACAAGGTTATATTATCTTTCATCCTACATCACCGATTCATCATCACCTATCCATCACCTAATTATCATCACCTTCCTATCATCACCTATCTCTCGTTTTATTTCATCACAGACCAACTATTTCATCTACCCATGTTTTATCCCAACATATTTGTAGATATAAAATAAATATATATTTAAATCATTTAAAACATGTATAAAATCATTCATCCATCATAGACAGCAAGTATTCAGATAATATGCACACATAGCACGTAATTTATATAAAATACTTCATATCTATGTGTAAGATGAAAAGGACCATGCACTCACTTGATTAGGTGGTGATTCCGAACTCAGACAACGCTTTATCTCAAAACAATTTTCCTCGACAAAACCTAGTATCAATACCACTATGGTTTAGTTTTTAATGTTAACCGCGACTAATTAATAGTCTAGGTATAATTACTATTATATAAGCGTTAAATAAAACTCAATATAACTCATAATAATAGCCCAAATACTCATTATAAGTTCCTAATAACGTTATTATATTAAAACATAAGTTATACTAAAGATAGGATAGGCATAGCTCACTTACAGCGGGTTTCCTTGGAAACCGGGCTCTGCCGGAGCAGAGTTTCTAAGCCGAAGGCTCTTCCTTTCGGAGCCGTCAGGCACTCCGGGGCTTCCGCCTCGTGCTAGGGGGTTCCCTAGGCTTTGGGGGGGGGGGGGGGTTGGGCTTAAAGAGATGTTATAGAGAGAGAAAAAAGTGGGTAAAGGTGTGAGGAAAAGAGGAAGCCTCGAGCCTCTATTTATAGGCCTCCAGGAGCGTCACCACGTCGTGGTGTTGCGTAGGCTCCAAGTTTTCACCTGTTGCTGACACGTGGCATCGCACACAGGGTGGAAATCAGCCGATTTTCAAAAATTCATAACTTTCGCATACGAACTCCGTTTTCGACGTTTTTTTAACGCGTAGGTAAAATCAAGATCTACAACTTTCATTTAGACACCATCGGCTAATTCTCGACTGATCTCAAATTTAA